GGCAGCCCTGACTTCCATCAGGGGCTGCCTTGGCGTGACAATAAAACCTCAAATCCTCCAAATGAAAGCCAGGGCATGGGAACACTCACAGCCCTTTAATGGAGCTGCTACAGAGCTGGGCAGGGGCTGGCAGAGAGACGAGTGGGGACAAAGATCCCAAAAATATTCAAGTGACACGATCTGTAAATCTGTTTGGGGGATGGCTCCAAACTCCTGCTGCATCCCAGCCCTGCCGAGCTTGGCCTTTGCACATCTGCAACCCCTTTGCTTTCCTTTTTTCCTTTTTTTTTTTTTTTTTTTCTGCTCCCAGATCACTTTAAAGGTCCAGCTTAGGGCATAATTAGCAGAGCAGTTAAAGTGGCGAGGGCAGTGACCTTGGGCGGTGGCAGGAAGCAGCAGCCGTGGGTGGCCTGGGGGGGCACAACACCGGCCCAGGAATCAGCCCTGCCTTGTAAAAATCTCCTCCTGCATCCCAGCACAGCTCGGTGCCTTCATCTGCCCAGACAAATGGAATTTTGGGGGAAATTGTGACGCTGAGCTCCTCTCCCATGGGCTGCACTGGCTCATGCACACAATTCCTCATTCTTGCTCTGTCCCACAGCTCCAGGGACAACCCAAAATCCGTGGCCAAGGACATCTCCACATCACCCGGCACCACTCGTGGCTGTGGCGCTGTGGCACTGTCCCTGCTGTCCCTCTGTCCCTCTGGGACCACTGTCCCTGCTGTCCCTGCTGTCCCCTGCCCTGTGGGGCTGCATTTCCATCTGAGCTCCCTTATCACCACCACGACCTTTGCTGGTCACAGATTAGGGGCTGGAGCCACTTGGATTTGTTTGATTTCTGTTGATGGTTATTAGGCAGAGGAAGTGCCAGAAGGGATTTTGACCTCGAGTTTAAACCTACTCCAATTAGAGGCACTGAGCCTTTAATTACCACGCTCCGGCCACTTTGGTTAAAGCAACAACAAAAACAAACACAGAATCTGCTTGAAGATGGGCTTTTCTTCCCATGGCTCCTCTGAGCTGCCACCTACTTTGTCCCTGTGCTCTGTGACCGTGCCATGGGACATTCTGGCCCTCATGCTACCTCCAGACCCACAGGTGACACCACTGCCAGGTGACACCCACGGGCAGGGGACACTCTGTCCTCACCCCCTGCCCCTTATGCCACCCCCAGCACCCCAAGGATGCTCCAGGGGTGATCCTCAGGTGCCCAGGTGGTGGCTCCAATGAAAAAAAACACCCAAGGTTGCAGTTCAGGAGCTCATTAGAGCTCACTGAGGGCTGATGGATATTTTGGAAACACCAATTTCTTACTTAGCAGAGCTTCTATTAAATCAAGTTTTTTTTTTTAAAGCAAGTCCAGTTGTTCTTTGCTCCACTTGGCCCTGGCACATGGACCATGTTTCATCCCCTGGCACCTCTGGCTCCCAGCACAGACCTTCCTGATGCTCCAGAGCCTGGCACAGATCTCTGCCTTTTGCTTTATTATTACATTCATTAATATGAGGCTTTATCAACATATTTTAAGCTTAGTTAATTAGGGTTTGTGTCCATGCTAAGTCCTATGACTTCAAATTACTTTCTAGGATACATCTTGTGGTTGATTTTTTGCTTTAAACAGTGACTTAATCCTCGTGCTCTGATAATTTCCTTCTCTGCCTGGCTTTTGTCCATTTTGTCCAAAAATCTCAGAGAAAAAAAAAAAAGCCAAGGGGAAATTCTCCTTTTAAGCAGCACCCAGGCCTGAGCTGAAGTGGGATGGGGTGACAGCCCAGTTGGAGCAGTGCATGGATTTGGGCATTCCCAGGACCTGGGGGGAACACAACCCTGCCAGTACCACACTGTGAAGTGTTTTATGTGATGAGTAACAGGGATCAGCACTAAAACAACCCTTGTAAATGTTCCATGTTCAAGGAGGTTTTAAATAGGCTGCTTAATCCAGCTGCTAGCAGGTTTGCAGTATTGTGTGTATTTTCAAACACTTTGGTTTCTTTTTTGCTCCCATGGAAGCTGTGCCATCTTTTGAACACAAGGCAATGAAAATAAAGAGTAGGTGCTTTGAAAACTTAAATTCATGTTAAAAGGGATTTCCTCAGCCCCAGCCAGGCACGGGTTGGGCAGGCACCTCCCACTCTCCCAGGGTGCCCCAAACCCCAATGTCCAACCTGGCCTTGGGCACTGCCAGGGATCCAGGGGCAGCCACAGCTGTGCCAGCCCTGCCCACCCTGCCAGGGAACAATTCCTGCCCAGAATCCCATCCAGCCCTGCCCCTGGCAGTGGGAAACCATTGCCCCTTATCCCATCACTCCTGGGGATTCTCTGAGCTCTCTTCCCATGGCACAGCAGCTCTGCAGTCCTGTCTGCCCCCACAGCTCCATCCCAGCCTGGCTGCCAGGGAAGGCCAGAGGTGTTTCAGTGACCACAGCCCTGCCACTGACGTGCTGTGAAGTGACTGAGCTGTCACAGACCCAAAACAATTCTTTGAGCCTGGAGTTGGTGTGAACCACACCAAACACAGGGTGGCTTCTGCAGTCCCTGTCACCCACCCAGGGTCTCTGTCTGTGCAGGAACAAGGAGCTGGAGGTGGCTGCAGCTTCAGGCCACCACAGGAGGAGCAACAGGAATGCCAAATATTCCAGTTCTCTGGATATTCAAACCCAAATAAGGCCCCAGATGCCAGGAGAGCAAACACGAGGCTGATCGACCAAGTTTGGGCAAATGTGATTGAGAGTTCCCCAGTGCTGCAGATTTTGCCTTGTAGGATAAAATTCCTAATTCTGTGTTCATTTATTCCTGTTTAAAGAGGAATCTGTGGAACCTCTACCCATCCCTGTCAGCCCCCAAATGCTTGTTTGTGGGAACTGCACATTTGAGAAGTTCAGGGAACCAAAACCAGTTTCATGGAAAGTCAGGTAAGTCATGAAACCAAAAAATCCAATAAATCCCCCCAAATGGAATCACCATTTCCTGACAGGCTTGCTAACAAAAAAGATGGAAACCTTGGAGATTTGTGTTATGCCTTCTATGGAAAGTGATGGAATGCCCTCAGGTAATGTGTTTGTCATCAATAACCAGGTGCAATAACACAACAAAACTCAATTAAACATTTTCCTACAGCAACAATTGCTACAGAAGTGACATTTATTGACGTTCTGCTGTATTTACAGGTTGAACATAGTAAAACTCCAAAGTGAATGACCACTTGGCAGAAAGCACAGGAGTGCACATTTAATCTACATTTCCAACGCATCAGAGTCTCTGCTAACACAATTTATAAAAGCAAGAATTACAGGTATGTTAGGAATTGTCTCAAAAGTCCCAAGCCAAAGAAAAAAAAAAAAAAAAAAAGGCCTTTGTTTTGCAATATGGATTTTATACAAAGTTGCAACATGATCTTTCAGTTTTACACTACAGACTTGTTCTGTGAAAACCCCTGGAGAGCCCAAAAAGTTGGTGATGTGAAAGGAAAGGATACTACAACACCGAGAATAAAGACTGTTAAAAGTTAATACTTGGGCCACCTCTAAACTGCCAGTGCCACCTCGGAGTCTGGACTGCACCACCCCTTCTCCTCCACAGGCCCCAGGTGCTGGGGGACTGCAGCAGGGAAGTCACCCCTGTGTGTCACCTGAGCTCCAGAGTCACCCCTGTGCTGTCACCTGAGCTCCAGAGTCACACCTGTGCTGTCACCTCAGCTCCAGAGTCACACCTGTGCTGTCACCTGAGCTCCAGAGTCACACCTGTGCTGCCAGCGTGGCTGGATGGGACATGGAGTGACAGAGATGGACAGGACAGGACAAGGACAGGGACAGACACAGAGAACAGGGATGGACAGGACAGGACAAGGACAGGGACAGGACATGGAGTACAGGGATGGACAAGACAGGACACAGAGAACAGGGACAGGACAGGACAGGGACAGGACAGGGATGGACAGGACATGGAGTACAGGGGTACAGGGGATGGAGCCAGGGTGTCACACACAGCCAGGGTGTCACACACTGCACAGGACAGTGACACAGACTGCAGAGTGACACACTGCACAGCACAGGACAGAGTGTCACACACAGGACAGTGTCACATAGAGGACAGTGTCACAAACTGCACAGAGTGTGACACACTGCACAGGGTGTCACACACTGCACAGGACAGTGTCACACACAG